CTTCGTCATCGACTGTAGATGGACGTCCTGAGCGTGGTCGATCTCCAAAGGTCGTGTCGCCAGATTCCAAGCGTTTGAACCATCAAGACACTGTGGAATAGTGGACGACATTGCCCTTGAATGCAGCGCAGATGTTGTCCGCGGTGGCTCTCGCAGAGTGTCCTTGGAGGAACTCGTAGTAGACGATGGGGCGAAGCATTGCTTGTTCGATCAGTGCCATGGCTGCCAACTAATGGCAGAAACCACCTTATATACCCCGAGGGCAGAAGCTTCAAGAACATTCCATCAAATACAAATGCAAAGCCCTGCCCATCATTCCTTTGAAAATTTTTCTAAATAATTTTAGAAAGTGCTGCAAGACTTTCTCTCCAACCCAATAGTTGCTCTGGAATTGTTTGTATGCTTGCCAACATAAAAGTCCAATCCTTTTTATTATGGGTCTTATTGTTCGAGACAGGTTGTTGGTTGCACCACCAGCTGGGATTTAGCTGTAAAGAATCATGTTTATTAGAGGTCATGAGAAATTAAATTATCTGATAATTAAGCAGTCATGGTCTGTCTCCAAGATTTGCCCTTTTAAATTTTTATTAGAAAGGACTAAATTACACATTGGACAAAATGCCATCCCCCATACTACTCAAAGTTAGAGGGCTGGCTAGTTTTAAAGCTTGCATTCAGGAATTTTAACTCATCACACATTTTACTCTGTCTTATTTTATGAAAAATGCTGAAATTTTTTTAAATATAGATAAATTTATTGTTTCAATCTCAGAACTTCAGCAAGGGGAAAGCTGGTAATGAATCTATATTTGGTATTTCTTTCACGTTCCACTAGACTATCCCCATGACACATTTCACCTGTTTTTTTTGTTGCCATGTTTAAAATATTTGCTTTGCTAATTCAGACTTTTGCATTTTGTCCATTTTGACAAATTCAGAAAATGATACACCATTCTAAGATCTTCAGAGGTTAGGTGGTTTCATTCTGTTTTCAAAAACTGAATGTCCAAAATTTTTTAGATTGACCACATTGTGCGAAAAAGAAAGCACCAACCCAATTCAAATTTGACATAAGCCATCTTGGGTAAATTCCTGTTTGAAGGCTATTTTTTCAAGCATGGGCCCTTTTATGCCTTAGTATTCTAAATTAATGTATTTATTTTATGTTTACCCATTACCATTCTTTTATGTGTACATTGTTGACTTGTAAAGTTTTCTGTTTGTTTCAGCCTAGACCAGTCAGGTTTTTCTACTTGATGCATATACAGGGTGCGTCAGCTATTTGAAAACAAAATTTGACTTTGAGGAAAACAAAAATATTCAGTTGAAAAACCAATATATTTTCATAGAATTTGGTCCACATGTTCTTACATACACATAACAAAAGGCTATTCAATAAAACTGCCTTCAACCTCGATTACGGCCTCGATGCAGCTTCTGAAACGACTACATGCGTTGATCAGGTGATCCTTATTCATGTTTGCCATAATGTCCCTGATGGCAGCCTTCAGCGAGTCCTTGGTATTATGGGCATGCTTGTTGGTCTCCCTCTCAACGACACCCCAGACGTAGTGGTCCAGGGGGTTTAAATCAGGAGAGCTAGGAGGCCAAATGTTAGGGGTAACATGATCGTGAAAATTTTTGGCCAGCCACTCCCGGGTGGTGCTGGCTGTGTGAGAGGGAGCAGAGTCTTGCTGGAACACGTACGGCCTCCCTTGAGCCACTCCCTCAATCCAGGGCTTGACAGCGTCTCGGCTCCGGCACTCAAGATGTGCATGTTACTAAGTGAAAGTCTTACAGTGGCCACAATCGTCTGGCACAATTTTGAAATATCGGGCAGAAATTAATGTCATGTCACAAACAGGAAAAATTAAAGGAAACGTACTTGCTGTCCTATGCCCATACCTCCCCAGATTGCTTCTGCAGCTTGAAGTATGGCTTCATATGTGTACTGGGACTGGCAACCTCTTTTTGGGGCTTTTTTGCCTGAAGGTGGCATTGTTTTCCTTGATTCCTTGGCCCCTTTGAGGTTGCTCTTCATCCAGACATAAAGTATCGCATGTCTAAGCATCACAAATTGGAAAATTAATATTCTTGAATGCAACACATTATTACTGGTTCACAGTTTCATAGAAACATTTTCTTGCTACCATGCGACAGGTGAAAAGGGTGAAAGGTGAAAAAGGTGAAAGCATTTGACAGTCGATTTTAGCAGACATCCTCTAGTCTATGAAGAATAACTTGACCACCAACATTCAAGTATCATAGCAACACGAATGCTATAAAATATATCTACAGCTATTATAATTGCTAGAGAAGGCAATTGAGCAACATGCATGACGTACGCCATGAGAAAAATATATAAGCTCAATACTAACCAAAAATGTATGCTAGTCAAGAAGTATCTGAACTTATTTTCCCTTCAACCTTACCCATTGAGCAGTGAGTTTTTTACTGACTGACCATACCCCCAAGTGAGCATTTTTTAGGGTGGAAATGTGCTGAGAATTTCCTACTTCTATGAAGGGCTTTGGAACTGAATTTTTTTTGGTTAGTATTTAATTTATTACCAAATAATATTGACTGTCGCCAAGAAGTAATGATTCATCACCAGATTTTAGTATTTCGTCACTTAATGAATTTACATCACCAAATTCTTATTACCATCACCAGACCTAATGAATCTTACACAGAATTCTCCCTCAGTATTTTCACCAAATGCCATGAAATGACCACCAAATTTTATTGAGTTAGCACCAAATCATTGTCACATTTCATGTGTCAAAAGAAATAAATTTTTCATTTAGCAGGCCTGCAGGGCAGAACACGCTGACTATCCCTGCTGTGAATTAGCATTCTGAGTGAATGTTTGCCAGTTTTGATCCAAACAGGGCATGTGCATTCAAAATTTGGAGCTCTCACAACTCAGGAGAGTCTTGTTCACTTTAAGTTATCCTAATGCTCCAGTTTTCTGATTAGATACTCTTGTGCACTTTTATTAACCTCTTCCCTTGTGGGGTTGCCGTCACTGCAGGCAATGAAGGCGTCTCTCTTTGTTTCAATGCCCTCAAACCCTCTATTTGCCATGGCATCTCTAATACATAGGGCACACAGAAACTGGAATTCAGCACCATACACAACTCCCATACATGTATGCAAGCACAAGGAGACTAGTTACATAGGTCCTCCCCCGAAGTCCCCCCAAAGCATGATATGATCTTACAATCTCAACTTGACATCACAGGTCTAACCAGAAATAAAGAAAAATCCTTTCCTTGATAGGGTTGCAAATGCTGAGAATGTCATAAATTTAATGATGAGATCATTTTTTTGGTGCAGGATAATGCAATTTTGGTGATACCAGCACCTGTGATGGTGCAATCATTTTTGGTGAAATCAAAAATAAGAATTTGATGACTGATTCCAATTTGGTGAAAATTCATTGTGATCTGGTGATGTAGTCAATATTTTTGCAAGCTGAAAATATTTGGTGACAAGTTCATTATTTGGTGGATGATTAAATATATTTCTATATTTTTTAACTCCCCTTGTTAAATTTTACAACTTAACTATTAATTGCTGACACTATCCTCCATTCTGTGTTTTTCTTGTTTTGACAGGATATTGCTTACCAGAATCATTCTTCCAGCCTCACCTGAAGAGAACTATAGGCGATTTCATGAAAGCACTCAAAGATCCTAGCCTTCCTTTATTGGAGCTCCAGGAAGTCATTTCATCCATTTCAGGACGTATTCCATCCACAGTGGAGAAGCAAATCAGAAAGTTCATGTCACAGTATGCCAGCAATATCACATCTGTCCTAGCTCAATTTCCATCTCAGCAGATTGCTTCTGTCATTGACAAGTGAGTGTGGTGTTTTACACATGTCCATTTTTAACCTCCATGCACAAGGCACCCTTTAACATTATTTTTTGTAAAGTGTGATTGTGTTTTATGAAATCTCCTACAGAACACCCTGTTTAGAATATCAAATAATTTTGAGGTGAGGATGGGGAGATGAGCACACAATAAAATTAACAGTTTCACCAACTTGAAACTTTCCTATTTAGTAGCGATGATCTATTAGAATTCCTGCAATACTGCAGAAGCCCTAGAGATGTGTTTGCCAATCTCTTTTCTATGTCATCCATCACTAGAAAATCAAGCTCCTAATACTTCACCATTTATTCCATGCTCCTGCAGTACTGGAACTTCCACAGCTACCCTTGATGCACACAGCTGCATGCCTTTTAAAGTCCACAAAGCACAAGTAAACCCTTCCATATGCTTCCAATCAGTGGTGCAGCGAAGATTTTGCCAAAGGGAGGGATAAGAACAGAGGAGGGGCTAGTAACTTTTCCTTGGCTGGGGTGGGGTTGTGGCAAATGCATTTTGACCAGAGTTGAGGCTTCAGTCCCTCCCTTGCTACTGCTTCCACTGCTGATAAAAGAGCTGGTATGTGGCATATAGCATCCTTTGCAAAAGCCATATTCCTTTAGTGGCTTCAGCAACTTTCCAAGCTTTCTTTTCCAACACCTGTCATGGACCATACCTTTATCATGTCAATCACAGTACTTTCCCATTGTTGCAAAGAAGGTGGACTGAACTGATGGAAAGACAAAATACCAACCATGAATCCCTATCCCTAGAGAAATATGACTGTAAGATTCATCAATGACCAAGTTAGAAGGAATTTTAAATTTCAATTAGCCTTAAAAGAAAATTTAAAGGACCCTCTTTTGTATTTTTTCAGCATAGAAGTGCCTGGACCAAGAATATTGTCCAATTACTTTTGGTTTCATAAAAAATTTAATATATAATTATTCCTTCTCCACTGTTGTGTAGCAGGAAGTCATTAATGTTTGGAAAATGAAAGAAGCTTGGGGGGAATGTGATCTCTTTATTTTGGAAGAGAATAATTTACTGCCTGATGGAGTTGAGCACTCTGGATGGACCCTATAGAGCTACCAGAAGTGCTGGCAGATTTATAGATCATGATAGCCTGAGGACTGTCTTGCACTCATGACTTTTGTATCCACCACTGCTGAAAACACACATGGAGTTGAATCAAGAATAGTCCAAGTACATGGGCTGTAATTAACAAGAACTAAAGGGGATGGGGACCCCCCCAACCCCATGGCCAATTTTGCATTCTATTTCTTTTAATTTAACAACTGTTCTCTGAGTCAAGTGTACCATGGTTGGTGGCATTCCAGATTGAAGACAGATCCAGGAATTTTTGCTATAGACCTAAAACTTTGATAGAATAGGCATTGTGATATGGGAAATCTAACAGTTATCTTCGTTCAAAAATTAACTTAGAACTTCTTAAGATATGGTTATTGCTCTCAGAAAGTTTCACCCTCAGAAAGGCAGAAAGTTTTACAACACAGTGAAATTGGTCATGGCTTTTGCAGTAAGCACAATGACATAATTCACCTTTGTTACAGGACCTCCTCCTCCTGCTCAGCATCTCCGATTGTTTAGAGACTGGCACACTGTCAGCGAAGTAGAGAGCAGATTGCTTGCTTGCTATTAGAATTTGGTCCTTAAGATAAGCAACCTGAAACAAGCCTGGAAGAAACAGAAGCCATCATCCTAACCTGATTTAGTGTACATCCTAAGGTCATGTCTGGTTGAAACACTCTTGCTAAATAACCAAAGCCCATTTGGCTTAGCTGTGCAAAGATCCCTTGTCCCTCTTATATCCTTGAATCCCACAGAAAAACAGCGTCTAAAGGAAGCACATCTAGGATGAACGAGATCAATCCAAATGAATAAGACCATAACACCTCCAAACATGTCACATGCTTATGAAATGGGTGATTGAGCTGCAATGACCAACATGTTGATAGATTGATGAAAGAAGTCGACTGCTGCATCAGGTGATTGAGCATACTAATAGTGATCATAATATGATGAGGTTAAGGGCATTCTCCTTCCCAACATATCAGATAGGGCGACTATAACAAAAAGAAAGTGCTGTGGTGGACAGAAGCTACCCTGCAACCTTCTGTTATCAATGGGAGAAGGGATGACAAGATGTGCACAAAGGACAAGAATTACAGTATAATGATTAATAAAAAAAAGTTGAGGACATCTCTTTGTCCCTATGCACTATCGTATAGAACAATTAAGACAGGAAGGAAGTGTTTTAGCAGGCAGCAGAATCGTTCATGGAATCATCATAATGAGAACAGAGGTGCTCAGGAAGTGCAGAAAGGGCAAGAATCAAAACATGATGAAAGGTAATAAGGTTGAAGACATCCTTCTTTCTACACTACCATCGTATAGAGCTACTGGAACAGGAAGCATTTTGGCAGGCAGAACATCCTGGAACCATCTGATTGTGAAATAAAGATGCTCAAGAAAGCAGAAAGAAGGACACAATTCATGGCATATTGCTGGAAGATACTTGCTAGTATCATGAGATAAAGTTGGAATGTGGAAGGTAGGAAAGGATGAGTAGCAAACTACCCCAGAAGCAGTGTAGATTGGCCCTGAGCTCTTAGTAAGTCAAAAGGTCAAAGTGCAGCCAGTCCAATGGCTGTCGATAGGCATGACCATGGTGGTAAGATGGGTCAACTTCTGTTGGCAAAAAAGTAGGAATGACTGCTCAAAACAGAGTAAACTAAACACCAACAGCCTCCCTGGATCAAGCCTTTCAAGACTATGCAAATCACTCCACCTGTTCTGGATTTCCAGATCTGGTGGGGGGTGAGATTGCCACCAAGATTGGGAGGGTTTTAATGCACTTGACTCAGGGAATGATTGTTAAAAAGTACAAAAATTAATTTTTATTGGGGCCTGTGAAATGGATATCCAGATTTTTACCCAAAAAAAAAATGAAAAGGGCAACAGGACAGAAAATGGTGATGGGGGGAGGGGAACTTGAAAATCACCATCCCTATGGAAAATCTCTGTATCTGGCACTGGTTCTCAGTCAGTTCAGCTTCTGTTGGGTCATTGACTCTTTTAGTCATGGCAATTTGAATGTGCCTCATATAAGAATAGGGCTCCAAGTGAGCATATGATATCTGGAGGAATGTCTATATCTTGTGTCTCCTAGTGCCTGTGTCATTCAAACTTTTTCTGTTCATAAGTATTAGTATGAGACACAAGTTTGGGTTTTTTTTCTGCTCAATTTTGAAGAAAGCCAAAGAATTACATACCAAGTCAAAACAAAGAGTATGAAAACTGACCTGACCCCTCAAATTTATATGATGTTTTGTGGACTTACCAGGACCATTGAGAAACTATCTGATTGGAAAGAAAGTTCTCGGAATTTCATGGACAATTATTACAACCCAGTTAAAATAGCATGGAGTATTGTGAAAAGTGTTCATGCAACAAGTCATTCATAAAGTCCTATGTACAACATACAGTATGGAGTGGCCAAGAAATAGGGTTTACTTTACAAACTCCAAATTTAGTTTGATCATAATTCCAGTTCTAACTAGGGCTGTGCTGATTATCACGATATCACGATATCGTTCGATAGATGTACTATCGGCAATATGTGTGAATATTGCAATTTTTTTTTTTCAATAAATAAGTAATCTCCTGCGACAGCAGAAGGAAAATAGAGCATACAAACTGCGCCATTTGTGTCTATTTTAAAAGAACAAAAGGTGAGGACAATGAAGGGATTGGCTCAAGGCTGATGCCTTGACAGAACTGACAGGATGAGGGAGGGAAGTATGGGATAGTCCTCGGACTGCAATTCTCCCTTATTGCTTCTTTTTTTTTCCTGGGAAAGAGAGCATCATGCATGCCTTGCAACAGAGAACGTCAATATCTTCTTCTTCGCTTTGAACCACGATCTACGATGATGTGATATATTCAAGTGCCTTCATTCTACTATGTTGGAATCCATTACCAAAATAAAGTGATTTTGTCCTGAAATAAATATGTCTTCTTACAAACACCCCCCCCCCNGGGCTGGTTCATGGCTGGAGAGCACCAGGGCTGTAATAATATACGGTTGTATGCCGAAGGACACGACCTACTTATAAACACACGCAGAACATTCTAGCATGCTCTGGAAAAAAATTGTACTGGATATTCAAGAAATTCCGAGAACTTTCTTTCCAATCAGATAATATGCACTAAATGTCAGCTTCCCAAATCAAGTAATTTTTGAAGCTCTGTGATTAAAGTATTGCCAAGAAAGTGATATTTTCTTGACCAGTTGGAGTATGCAATAATTATTGTCATAATGCCTTGAGGACTGGACTTGTGATAGGAGTCTTAACTACAAGATGAGCATTTGGTTCAACTCCCAAAAAAGACAAGATGTACCATTCAGATGCCATATTCTCAGACAGATTGCCCTATTTCACTCTCATTTCTTAGCAGGCTGTTGTTATGTAAGCTCATATGGTTGTTGAATACTAGAGACAAGGTCTGAGTTAAAATATATGTATTTCTTTTGCACATTTTAATTGAAGTTCTTGCTGCAGGGGATGGCAGGAGAAAGGGGTGACGAAGAAATAGGGTTCTTTTTTTTTAAGGCTCAGTGTTAATATAACTGCATTGCTTTTGAATTCATGTGAAACCAATCTCATTGGAAACTAAGGAGACCCATTATGTTGCTTACAACAAATACTACCTGATTTTAATCAGAAGTAAACTATGGGCTAACCTGAACGCCAGTTGATGGTGAAAAGGATTTGTACATTTTGTGAAGAGAAGACTGGAAGGAAGAAAATAGTGTCTTTATCTTTTATTCACAAAGGAGGACTTCCCTTGACAGAATAAACAAAATTTTGTCTTGTCTCTACTTCATGAAGGAGCGTATCCATTGACAAACTATTACAAAGGTTTTGATCAGGTTCGGTATTTGAGACACGCTGCTCTTCATGCTGATCCCTGGTTGGCCAGCAAAAGTAGCCTTACAAGAGAAAGTGAAAGAGGTTCAGAGGCTCATTGAGAAAAAGCCAAACACATCTCTCCCATTAGGTACCAAGAAAACACAGTTGAAGAGAGCATATTTGGGTGAATAAAAAGGGAAAAGTTAGTATCAAAGGGCACCAACAACAACTTGTCCCCCAAATGCACCCAAGAACAGAAGGAGCAGGCAAAGACTTCTTCTTTCTTCTTCAATTCAACCCAATACTCATTGTGTGCCAATACTCCATGGAAATCATTCTCATGGATGACAAGACTTACATCCCACTGGATCCCATTGATATCCCTGGGAAAAAGTACTATCACTATGTCAACTAAAGCTATGTGACCAATGAATCCAAGTTGAAGCCCAGGACCAAGTTCATGCAAGAATATCTGATCTGGCAGGTATCTGATGAGTTCAGTCACATTTTGGTTCCCTTTGTATCAAAAGGTACAATCAATGCCAAATGTACCTAAAGTCTCAAGAGGGGTCTCCTTCCTTCCTTTATTGAATGATGCCACAACAAGGACCAGATTATCTTCTGGATGAACATGGCCTCTTGTAATTATGGAAAAGTGGTCCAGGATTGACAGGAGTCTCAGAGTATCAATTTTGTGACCAAATAGAATAATGCCCTGAACTGTCTTCAGGCCCAACCCATCAGGCAATTTTGGGCCATTTGCAAAGACAGATAATTGAAAAGAAAGGCTAAGGCTAATAACCTCAACTCCTTCAAGCAGATCTGGTTAAATTTTTCCTGACAAGTAGCAGAGGAGATGAGTGAAAACCTCATGAGGACACTTCAAAGCTGGCTAGAAGAATGAGATGTCAAGGTATCTATGCACTTGTGGAGGGATGTACAGGGTGTCCCAAAGTGATTGTTGCATTTTAAAAAATGTATTTCTCATAAAGTAATACAGATAGATAAGAATGGCTTTCACCAATGCATAAAGCACAGACTAAAGTTGTTTAAAATTCACAATTGTTCCTCAGGAAACTTCAACATGGGCACTGCTAGTTGCACATTAAATGTCATGCTGATATTCAATTTCACATCAGGCATTCCTCTACATGTTGGCAATAACTGATAAGCAATAACAGATTTTGTGCCTCATTTTAATAATATATGACACTCTGCTTCTGATGACAGCATCCTTGACATACCAGGGTATGTCAATTTCTTTTACCAGGGGTAGCCCCCGGTAAATGAAATTGAGTGGGGTGATGTCAGGTGATTGTGGCAGTCAAGGGATAGACCCACCTCTTCTGATGCAGCGACCTGGAAGTTTAATATCCAGAAGTGTTTTCATGTCCAGGCCCCAATGCAGAGATGCTTCAGGGTATTTCCAGATTGTTGGATCAGAAGAGGTAAGCCTATCCCCTGACTGCTGCAATCACCTGACATCACCCCACTCAATTTCTTTTTGCTGGGGTATGTCATGAATGTCGTCATCAGAACCAAATTGTCAGGTATTATTGGAATGAGTTACCAAATCTGTGTTGCACAGTTACTGTTGACATGTTGAGGAATACCTAGCATGAAAATGAATATTGGCATGACATTTTACATGCAACTAGCATTGCCCATGTTGACGTTTCCTTAGGAACGATTGTGAATTTTGAAATAACTTTAGCTTGTGCTTCATGCATTGGTGAAAGCCATTCATTACTATCTGTATTACTTTATGAGAAATACATTTTTTTAAATGCACCAATCATTTTGGGACACCCTGTTTTGTAATGATTAGAACCAAGGCTGGGCGATATGGATTTTTTATGAATCGATATCGCCAACCCATATATTGTGCAATATCATGATATCATTGTAGTTCAACTTGGGGGGGGGGTGTTTGTAAGAAGACATATTTATTTCAGGACAAAATCACTTTATTTTGGTAATGGATTCCAACATAGTAGAATGAAGGCACTTGAATATATCACATCATCGTAGATCGTGGTTCAAAGCGAAGAAGAAGATATTGACGTTCTCTGTTGCAAGGCATGCATGATGCTCTCTTTCCCAGGAAAAAAAAAGAAGCAATAAGGGAGAATTGCAGTCCGAGGACTATCCCATACTTCCCTCCCTCATCCTGTCAGTTCTGTCAAGGCATCAGCCTTGAGCCAATCCCTTCATTGTCCTCACCTTTTGTTCTTTTAAAATAGACACAAATGGCGCAGTTTGTATGCTCTATTTTCCTTCTGCTGTCGCAGGAGATTACTTATTTATTGAAAAAAAAAAATTGCAATATTCACACATATTGCCGATAGTACATCTATCGAACGATATCGTGATATCGTGATAATCAGCACAGCCCTAGTTAGAACTGGAATTATGATCAAACTAAATTTGGAGTTTGTAAAGTAAACCCTATTTCTTGGCCACTCCATACTGTATGTTGTACATAGGACTTTATGAATGACTTGTTGCATGAACACTTTTCACAATACTCCATGCTATTTTAACTGAGAATGTGCCATAAGTCCATGGGTGAATCCTCATGTGGTTCAGAGAATACAAGATTCATATCTGCACAAGTGTTAGCATCACCAATTCAAAGAGAACCTCTGTTTTCATGAAAGATAGAAGTTTTATCCATGAAGGAGAAAAAATTGCCCCTTGCATTTGAAATTCGTTTTTATTCCCTTAATTAATGTATTATATCTTGCTGTTGCAGCTATGCAGCATCTCTACAAAAGAGAACAGACCGGGATGTGTTCTTCATGACCACTCAAGGGATCTTGCAACTGGTTCAAAGGTATCGCAATGGGATCCGTGGAAGGATGAGAACTGCAGTTCAAGACCTTCTCAAGCAATATCTTCAAGTGGAAACTCTTTTCCAGCATGGTTGAGCTTCTTTCTTACCTTGTTTTGTCCAAATGAAAGCAAGTAATTGCTTGTGCTTTTGCCCCATGGATAGATGAATGGTAAAGTACTGGTAAAGATACAGTTGAGTGGAAAGTTGGTTTGCCAAGAGAAAAATGTGAGAAAATATTGGAAGCTGGAGTAACAAGCATGCATGCATACATACAGGGTGGGCCAAAAAAGAACCTGAACAGTTTTCAACAGTACAGTATACTGCACTTGCTGCATATATTTTAATTCTGGTTGTGGCATTTGAAAGGGGAATGAATAAGCTTTACAATGGTGTATTTGCATTTAAAATATTTTCAACAGTTTCAGAAATTCAGGAACTCGTATAAACACTAAACAAAAATTACATTGCCGCAGGACAGGACAGGGATGAACAGGCAGCAACCTTCATGACTGAAGTTCACATGCCTTCTCCCTCTGAGGACGTGGCAATGCAGTTTTTGTTTCCTGTTCATGTGAGCTCCTGAATTTCTGAAACTGCTGAAGGTATATGATAGGTAAACACATAATTTTAAAGCTTATTCATTCCTCTTTCAAATGCCACAAACCGTGTTAAAATATATGCAGTGCATGAAGTGTAGTGTATCGTTGAAAACTGTCCAGGTTTTTTTTGGCCCACCTTGTATTTTAAAACTGCTTATCCCTAATTGATGCATCATGGCTCGATCCTTCCAAGGAGCATCTTCCAGTTCTTGCAATCCTGGGCTTTGTCTCTACTGCAGCAGGAGGTATACCAACCTCTTATGATGAAGACTCATAATGTAATCCATCCACCTTGCATTGGGCCCACTGACTGGTCTTCCCATGGTCATTTTAGATTAGGGACTCTTTTTGGGAGTCTCTCAGGAGGCATGGGAGGAATGTGTTCAAACTAACAGGACTGGGATCTATCGATCCAAAGAAGTAACTGCTCAACCTTGAGGTTCACACAGATTGCAGCACTTCACATCCTCACATGTGACACCAGGCCACCCACTGCAAGAACCTTATTTTAGTAGCTTGTATCTGTGACCTGATCCTTTCAGTCATTACCTTAACTTCATGATGACCAGAGGTTAGGGTGGGGAGCTCTTAAAAGCTGAAAGTTTCACCTTCTTTGAAATATCTGATTTGGCAACCACCCACCTCCAGAGTTCCCACAAAACAGCAGAAGCCTTGGAGATGTGGCTGTCAATCGTGTTTCCTTATCACCTGTTACTCAAGAACCTGACCCCAAGATACTTAAACCCTTTCATGCATGAATTTTCAAAGCAAAACAAAATATGCATTTTTTGGTTTAACCCTCTCCTGGCCAAAGTGCTCAAATTTGTTGAGAATGCTTTCACATTCTTGACAAATTTGTCACTCCCAGACAAGCTGGTTGTAGGTATTCTTTTTTTTGAAGGACTCCTAGTTTCACCTGTTGGACTATTGAGTTAGTATTTAGTGCATTGACAGTTTATTCAGACTATATTTTGTTAAATAATAAGTTAATATCTGGGAAACCAAGACTTTGGAACAGGGCCAGGAGAGGGTCAATGTTTAAGGAGGTACTCTGCTGCCATATCACATGTTTTATCGCTAGAAGGCAACACTGAATAGATTATGTGCCCTGAAGTGGACTGTATGCACCAAAATGTTTGAGGCATGTGTACTGTGGCTGAAAAGCCATTATTGTTGTGTTTATGCAAGTCAAATTGGGAAATCTCTTGTAGACGGCTGATTGCCGTACTTGTACTTTTATCAGAAAAAGATTTGGCAGGTGGGTAATGGAACATGATTGCAGTCTGATGGATATATGGGCCTGGTTTATTCAGAGACTATGGTGACGTGAAGTGAAATCTTCTTGTAAAGATGCGAAGTCCAAACAACGTCTTGCTGTCTTCCAATGTTTCTGCACCTCTGGGTCTTGGGGGTACCTGGAGTCTTGTCCTTGTCCAGTTGCTGCAACGAAATTTCAGGTTAAATTGAGCTCTACTCAAATGGGTGCCAGCCTCAAGTGAGGAATTGATTAACCGTGGAAATTTTGACGTCTGCAGACACCTAGGTCCAGAGGCCTTCCTATCTGTAAGGAAAGGGATCACTGGTGCTTCAATCCAGTAGCACTTCCGCTCAAGGTTTGGATCAAACCAAGCTAACCAGTCAATTAACACGTTGACAACCAGCCTATTTTTGCTTGTCCGCCGCGTGGGACCACGCACATTTTTTTTGTCAAAAAATGCGTCCTGCCATCAGGACGCATGGTCCCAATTCTCAACAGTTCCAGAGGGTATTCGTTGAAAAAAAATCTGCATCCTGGCATCAGGACGCATTGTCGCCAACGTGTTAACAACCGGAATTCTGGAGGCACCAAGGTCCTGAAGGAGTTGTTCGGAGCTGTGGATCCTACACTGTCATAGTACGTCCTGGCTCGAGGTTCGAGTGGAGGTCAGACCGAGCAGGTGGTATGTACGCTGATGTCAACAGAGCTCAAGGTTCGTGACCAGCGGACAGATTGGCGGCCGTTTACTCGCAAATGGATCAGTGCCTTCTGAGCCATTCCACTTCCTTTATGGGTGGATCCACAAATGGAATCGGGTCAACCGAGCTCTGGAGGAGTCGTCCAGCCGCAGAATCTTAGCAGGCTCAAAAGCTTAGAGAGAGCTCCTAGCTTGAGCTGCTGAGTTGTGCAAGTGTCTGACTGCCTCTTCTCGAACTGAAGACGGGTTTTTATACCGGGGAGGAGACCATAAAGTTGGGTCATTTGTGACCATTGCAAAGAATTTGTCAACAAGAAATGCAGGGGGGGGATAGGACATGTCGAACACACGTGCTGATCACATGATCGTTTGAGAGTTGGTGCCCATATATCCACATTTCATGCTTGCTACATTATCATCGCCAAAATCCTTGTTGTCCTTACAGTGGACATTTGTACAAAAGGATTAAAATTCTTGACCTGTTCCAGTGGAGCCCCCTAACATTTACAGAACTTCTGGAATTAGGGAAGATCAGTAAGTTCTAAGTCCAAGGCTCTTCCAGTTCCAATACAGCATTCTAACCAGGCCCTGCTCGACCAAAGATCATGAATAATGCGTGCAGTGGGCAGGGCTTCCCAATGATGTCACGGCAATGTGTATAAAAGAAAACTTCACCGGCTTCCTCCCTCACTCTGACTCCAACTGCCAAGGAAGGATGTTGGTAGCCTTGTGTTTCCATACCTTCAGCGGATAGTTTGCCTGCGCCATATGGAAATACAGTCATCCCCCAACTTGCGTCGTCTCAACTTACGTCATATGTCGCGATGACGTTAGTCAAGACGATGCAAGTCGGGGGATGACTGTATATCATTTTTTCTTGGTCAAAATTGATTGCCTGGAACCACCCTCCCCATTTTAACATTGCGTTTATGGGAAAATCTGCCTAGACTTACGTCGCCAGTCTTGGAACCAATTACAACGTAACTTCGGGGATGACTGTACTCAATCTTGGATTCTCCTATAGACAGTTTTCTCATGCCCTCTCTTTCTGATTTACAACACCCTTATTTGCTTGGTTACTGCTTTACTATAAACAGAAGCAGTGGGAAAACGTGCATACTTCCATCTTGTAGCACAACAAATCAGAACAGTAGAGCTGAGAAACATTCATTTCATGTATTTTCCACAGAAGAGGAAGCAAAATCAAAATGGTTGAAAGCCTTGGGTTTATCTGCTGTACTTAAAACAGCATTTGTCTGTTTGCTTCATTTTGCAAATGATTGCATGGAAGATTTCTGGATCAGAAAAGGTACCTGTTAAGAGATTCTGGATCTGAAGAGAAGTCCGGGTTCTTCAGAGGAAGCTTGAAAATGCTAGAGCAAAGTTACGACAAAAGTTACGACATCTGTATAATCATATGCTGAAGAGTAAAAACAAGGTGATTCAGGAACTGAAACAGAAGTGCAGCAAAATGATGGATCCATCTGCTTTGAGGAAAATATTCACTGAAACCCAGCTGAATGTCATCAAGGCCGGGAAATCAAAGGTATACCAGCTTCTTACCAGCCAGATCCCATAGGGGCATTGAAACAAGAGGATCAAGTGTTCAAGTACATGGCAGGATATGTAGCATTCAACCTTGCTGCAAAAGTTCCAGGTTTAGGCTCCTGTCCAGTTCACAACACAGAAAGTGATTCCTGGAATCAAAGAATCGGCCATGGTGGCCTGATGGAGCCCTCCCCAACATGACTTAGGGATGCCATGATTTTGGAACCAGAGTTTTTGCACACCAAGGGGATGATATCCAGAGAGGGAAAAATGTGATAAACATTTTAACATCTGAATTGCAGAAGAAGTACCAAGAAATGTTCAAGGAAGCCATTCTTTGCTTCATTCGGACAAGGACCTTCATCAGGATGAAGTGTTTGAATAGGGAGAATGCGACAAGAACTGCAAAAAAGCAAGAACAGTGGCATGCTAAAAAACTGAAGATATTCCTAGCATATGCATCAAGAGGATGATACATTTCACTCAGCCAATCCATCAGGAAAGCCCTTCCTGTGATGATGTCACAATGGTGTTATGTCTAAGCCCCACCCCCCTCTTTAATGAGGATATCTGTCAGGCAGGGCCTGATTCTAACTCTTCTCATGAGAAGACAGATTTTTTCATGGAGACTGGCAAAATGTAATTTTCCTGTCAGTTATCAAAGGATCTGCCGAAGAGGTATGAAAATTGAGACAAATGCTGTGATGAAGTTTCCAACCTCTAAGGAGTTGCTCTTCCAGCAGATCTTTTAGCAGTTAAGAGGATAGAGTCCTGCTGACCCATCTAAGAAAGATCTGCTTGGAGATTGATTCCTTAGAGCAGTGGTTCTCAACTGGTGGGCCGCAGTCCACTAATAGGGCATGGAGGTGCCATGGGTGGGCTGCAACTTGTTTCCATGAGTTTAAAAATAACAATCAGCAGATATACAAGCAAAAATTATATAGCTTTTAAATCCGTAGTGGACTTTGGATCACTTTGCTGTCATTAAGGTAGGCCATGTAATTGAAAAGGTTAAGAACCACTGCCTTAGAGGTTAGAAAATTCCTCTCAGCATTTGTCTCAATTTTAATACCCTTCTGCAGACCCTTTGATAGCATGTATGAAGAAATTTATTGAAGCCATCTTCAAATAAAAGATACCTTGAAAATTTTCCAGTCTCAATCAAAAAACCTGTCCTCTCACAAAAAGAGTCAGTATGGCATATTGCAACTGGAAGTGCCTTGGGCTTAGAACTTTTAGATCACCCCTTGTAGATCCCATTCAGTTTTTAGATCAGATATCCAGTGAGGCAGTAGAGAATAATTTTTGTTCATCACTTTAACTGGATCATCATGAGTTTTCTCATCGTGGAGGACTTCCCACCTTTCCATTTTGCAACATGTTTGGTTTTCTGCCCATTCTGAAGTTTGCTCATATATGGGGTTTCTTACCCACATATGGTTAGTCTGAAGTGCTAGTCAGCGTACTGTTCGACCCCACGCTTGATCTTCATATCTGCTACTTCATTTCACCAGGTTCTGAGTCAATACCAGGTTCCAGGTCAACTGAAATGATTACATCATCTCTATCTATGACTGCTGGCATGCAGTACCAATCCAAATGGCAGGTCCTGTGTGCCAGATATGCTGGTGGATGTCCTGTGTGCCAGATATGCTGGTGGATGTCCTGTGTTGAAAGAAAGTGCTGGCGATGGTTGACTTTTGGACCAAAATGAATCCAGCAAATGCCATTGTTTTTTAAAAGGCTAGACTTTCAAAGTTATTTCATTTACTCTTTCATTGAAGTCAATAATGCATAAAATAAGGCCATGTAAAATTTACTATTTTTGGCATTTTCAGAAATTTGCAAAAGGTCAACATGTTCATGAAACCCTATCATCATGTATGCTTTTGGAATCAACAGAAGAAGATTTAGTGTTGTGTGTCCCATTTTTGTTTCAACAAATTTCACTTAAGGAGATGCGATGGCTTGAAATATGCATAAATCATGAATTTTGCACAAAGAAAACAGTTTTCAATTGTATGGTGCCATTTTCTATGCATCTCAACAAACCTGAAAACTTTTCAGAATGTCTGCCATTTACTTGACTAAAAGATAAGAGCTATTTCAAAGCTCATGTATATTTTTAAATGCACACCACAAATTTTTATTCAGACCCCACCTCACATTTTCTGCCATTGTTTTAAATGAAAAAAAGATACAGTTTTCATTACCAGATCTTCAATTTTTTTTTTTATAGCTGCAATCATAGGAAAAATCAATGCATTCTAATGGTATCTACAATACCGGTACTAGGATGCTTCATGAAATGCATTCTGAATACTCTGAGAGTCTGGAGTGGTGAAATAAAATTCACCCTGCCTGGTGGAAACCTGGACTTAACATTTTTAAGTGAGTTTATTTTTGTTTGAGCATTCAGAACATGCTTCTTGAAGCATCCTAATACCAGTATTGTGTAACATTTCAACTTGAAGCAATGTCTAGAATATGAATTATAGCCATCAAAATCACACCACATAATGTGCACTGATGCAGTATGATTCATATAATGCTGTGAGTCAGCATTCAATTCATCAATACCATATTCATCACTCATGTCCCAGCATTCTGCACTTCATCACTGTATCCATCCAGAAAGTACAGCTTACAGCCTCACGCACTCCATTTCAGGCACCATTCAGAGCCATGTATTAAGCAGAAGGGAAAATCGGCCTTCCCATACTTTGTGCCAGAGGTATGAATACATTCCAATTGGTAAGAAAAGAAGCAAAAATAGAATTTGAAACTCTGCAAAATGTATTGAATGAGCAGTCATGTCCATGAACCCCATACTACTAGGATGCATTGATTTTTCCTTTGATTGCAGTTATGAAAAAAAAAAAGTTGAAGAACTGGTAATGAAAACTGTGGTTTTTTTTTCTTGTCCTTAAAAAAACAATGGCAGGAATTTTGAGGTGGGGTCTGAATAAAAATGTGTGCTAAACATTTAAAAACATGCATGAGCTTTGAAATAGCTCTCATCTTTTATTCCAGTAAAAGACAGACATTCTGAAAAGTTTTCAGGTTTGTTGAACTGCATAGAAAATGGCCCCATACAATTGAAAACTGTTTTCCTTGTGCAAAATTTGTGATTTACGCATATTTAAAGCCGTTGCATCTCCTTAAGTGGAATTTGTTGGAACAAAAATGGGACACACAACACTAGATGTTCTTCTGCTGATTCAAAAACATACATGATGGTTTCATGAACATGTTGACCTTTTGCAAATTTCTGAAAATGCCAAAAATTGGCAAATTTGACAGTGTTATTTTATTCATTATTGCCTCAAGGAAAAAGTATGTGAAAGGACTTTGAAAGTTTAACCTCTTTTTAAGGAACAATGGAATTTGCTGCGTTCATTTTGGTCAAAAAGTTTTCACCCCACATGAGCATGAAGAGATGCTCCAATTTTTTAATTTCACAAAATTTAACAAATTATTGTGCCAAAATGGCTCCATACCTTTAACCAAAATTTTGCACTCTTACTTTTGGGCCATGAGGATAACACATTAAACATTTTAGTCAATATTGGAGGGTGTCACCGCCTGGCCTCTGGTTGGTGCAAGATGGAATGACCCAGGATGGAAAAATTCAGGAGAGTTGTATATCAACAGGAGCCTTGTCCTCATCCTGTCAATTTAAATTTGACTGGGTTGCTAACTTTTTCTCTTTTGTCCTCTCAGTGGGTTTAGCTTTGTCTTATTCATCATTTTGAAAGACTTGAGCATGATCACCTTCTTCATTCTCCTTTTTTCTATGTGCAATCCAATTTTTAGAATAATGAGCTCATATTTAGCTGATAAATTGGGATGAAATAAGGTCAAAGACAAGCAGCACTTTGGCCATCCTGTGATTTCAATCACACACAAGAACACTGCCATAGTTGATGAACTCTTCCAAAATGACAGGCGCATAACAACCAGGGAAATACGAGACTATCAGCTTTGGTGAAAATACCCTTCAGCAAATCAACACCCTCAAATACTCTGACATTGGTAATGACGTCAATGAGGTTGTCAATAAATCGATTCGAAATGTAGGCAAGGAATTTTTCTGTGATGGCACGCAAGCCTTTGTGAAATACTGACAAAAGTGACTTGATCCCTATGGAAACTATGTCAAAAAATTGTCAGACCTTCAGGAAACACTAGGCAACTCACCTTAAAAGTTTGAAGCCATTCCATCAAAATGCAAATTAGAAAAAAATGAATGGGCATTACATTTGGAGTGACCCTTGTAATATTCCTGGTATGTTAAGTTGACCACTGAAACAGGTTGAAATAGATACTAATGCTCTTGGCTAACCATACACTTGATGACAAGACTGGTCAAAGAGTGTGAAAAGCCTAGCCTATAGCTTTGGTATCTTTTCCTTTATTGCCTTCAGCCTGGAACTCCTTGTTGGTCTGGCATTTTATAATAGTTTTGAAATGCCTGATGAAGGATTCCAGGAGTTATTGTGCTGTAGCTGTTCAAGGACCATCTCTCCATCCAGAAGTATCCAGATTTTGCATTTGGGCTGTACCAATAGTCACATTTGGCCAATGGGCGATCATGATCATCATACCCATCAGCTGGTGCCAGTTTTGACATGTAGAAAAACTGTGAAGAACCATTCTACAAGATTGTGTTTTTTATTTAAATTTTCTTAGGGCTGTCATGCTGGGTGTTTCAAAAACATCCATATATCGACCTGAAATTTCAATAGTGTATCTATGCACCCAGGGGTGAGGTGCCTGTGGATTCTGTCTTTTTTTGCTGCAATCAGGCGGAGGTTTCATTTCTATTGTTTCTTAATTCAACTGGGGGGCATACCTCTATCCGTCTTCTGCAGGGCCACCCTGTAAAAGACGGATATGCATAGGCATATCAGATCTTAAGACCTCTTGAAGAATATATTTGGCAATATTCTGTTAAATTTTTAAGTCAATCAGGTATAAAGTATGGATGTTATGGGAAACTTTCAAGTGACTTATTTATTTTGGCCAGCCCTGAATATGAGAATAAAATTGTAGAAGTTTATCCTGCTATGTGATAGGAATCTTCATGGATATTACTATCAAACTCTAATCTATGGATGAAAACATGAGAGGAATGGAGTGACTGGCAGGAGAAAGTTAAAAAAGGTATGAATAGCAAAAACTTTAGACTCAGTCATTAATGCAATTGACCAGCATCATCAGGGGTATAATTATAAAATTATTATTATTACATGGGTCATCCCAAAAGTTTGAGAACATTTTATTCTACATCAAGTTGAAATGCCAAATTCAGCATTATTCCAAGTGAACTTTCTCAATATACTTACCCCTCAGCTGTACACACTTCTGCCACTGTTTTATCAGCTTCTTGAGTCCTTCAGCAAACCAGTTTGCTGGGGTCACTTGAACCCACTGGTTCACAGCAGGAGCATGCTCCAAGCATGTGCCAAGGTCAGGTCAACCCTGGTGAATCATCCACTGTATCCCATTCTGCTTCAAAGTGATGCATCCACTTATTTATGGCACTTTTTGCAAAAGCTCTGTCTTTGTAAACTTCTTGCAGCTCATGACCTGTGACTTTTTCTGTTTCCACAGAAACCAAATCCCACCATAATTGTAAAACGTAGGTCTAATTAAAAATGCAACATCTTTGCAACGGGAAGGAGCAATTACACTATCATTCCTATGTTAGCACCATGATACATCAATATGAACACTATGATAAGACCATTGCTGCTGGATCACATGCAAAGAAAATATTCACATTTGTTCTCAAACTTTTGGGATAACCCACGTATAAAAACCCAAAATTCCAGAATTATAGACCCTAAGATTTCAGAGGATATCATATTGGCAGTGGGTTTAATCTTGAGAAAGACAGACACTGGGTAGAAGCAGAAAACCACCCCCCACTTTCCCCCTCCTCACCTGTGTTTCTTAGAAGTGATCTTAAGAAGAAATATGACAATTTGACTTATTTGTCTTTTAAGATGCAATTGTCTGATGAAAAAAAAAATATATATATGATCCTCTTTCTGTTCTTGCAGGCCATTATGACAAATGTGTGTCGGCAGTCAAAGAGAGGCATAAAGAAGACATGGGTTCTGTTGTTTTGAACATTTTCTCTCACTCTCAAGTGAGTGAACATTGTTTCTTGTCTAAATCCCACTCATTCTTCCAGTAAAAAGAAAAAGGAGAAAAGTCTTCATGCATCTCATATCACTTTCATAGGTGACAAAGAAGAACGTGTTGGTTGTGGAGTTGATTAATGCTCTCTGCACAACAGACCCTGGATTGACAGATGATTTGGCTTCCATTCTCAGTGATCTTACCCTCTTGAATAATTCTGAGAACTCTAAAGTAGCTCTGAGGGCACGACAGGTTGGTATTCACTTTAATCAATCTCTATTAAGTGCATGAAAATATGGAAACGAATTTTTTCACTTTCCTGGTCTCATGTCAAAGTTCCTTTCTGCTGGTATCCTTTCTGACTCCTGATATGTGTTTGGAAAGTCATTCCCTATTTTAAAATTGGAAAAACTTTTGTGATTTTTTGATGAGAACATCTGTTTTTTGCCAAAAGAAGCAGAGTTAGATGGGATTTTATGGTTTCATTAATTTGTTGGTTTGCAGTTACCCTCCTTGGTGCCGAAATTGAATCTTTGATGCCATGCACAATACTGTATGAGGTGTGGAGGTGGGAAGTTGCATCCAAGGCATACTCATACCCAGGGCCATATCTAGGATTTCATTTCGGGGGGGTGGTTGAGGTTTGGGGTATGGGCTGTGGCATTTTTTTTTATACTTGTCATTGTAAGTCTTTGTGACATATCTGGATTTTCCTGTAAGCCGCATTGTTTAATAAGTCATAAGCTATTAAAGATAGAAAAGACCAAGTACTGCACTGTTTACACCAACAAATAGCAGTATGGCAAAAATTTAAGGAATATATCAATATTTCGGGGGGGTTTGAACCCTATGAACCCCC